GACACAGCCGCTCGTGTCGCTCGACAGGTCAGATTGCGCGGTTTCGTCCGTTTAAAACAAAGCTCAGCAGGGGCTATCTGGCAGGCGTGATACATGGGTAATACAAAATAACCAGCCTCTCCTGTCACGTCGGTGTAGTCGGTAACGCGTTCGCCTACCGTCCGGAGGATCCGGGTTCGATCCCGGTCAGATCCCCTTTCCGTCGGAGTGTGCGCTCGAAAAATAGGTGCAATCGAGGCGAACTTGCAGGCAATGACCGACGGGCAACAAATATTGGCATCACTTACTGAGGGATAAGCAGACCTTAAGTAGGAACAAAGCGGGGGGAAAACGAGCAGCAAGAAAACGGAACGGTATCATGATAAACAGGTGTAAGCCATGTTACTCACGAGTAGTCAGAAAACAAGGAAAGTTACCCTCGTTCACCGTTGATTCGCAGGGGGAATCAACAAAATTTTTATAATATATTTTGGTGTCTAGCTATCGATCTATGTATGTAGTTTGAAGGCGCAAGTCACAAGGCGGATAGGCGGATACGTCACAACCCATAAGCGAGCTGGATTCAAATATGCTTATAATTGTGCTCCTCCTAACTCTGCTTTATGGAAAATTGAACAACTTAAAGCAGAAGAGTATTGTGTTGAGAATCCACCGACCAAATTTATTATTATTATGGCACTCAGGATATTTCCACGATAGATGAACTTAATCCGGTACGGTGCTTCATCGGAGATAATTATCAGCACACAAATGGAGCTCACACCGGGTAGCCGTACCTTACGGCAAAGCTTCTTCTGAGGACTTTGGTACTGTGTTTACGCAGTTTAGTTTAATGAGACATCTACTGGTTCTCGGAACTGAGACGACCATTAGCTTGCTTCCCTTTTGATGCACCCACGGGTGTTATGTTACACAACATACTAAAACTGATCATCTGAAGCAGATACCTATCATTGTGCTGAACTCAGCTATTATGTATGGTGTAACGTTAGAAACCTATGCAATGTGTAAAGTGATTATTGTCGGGAAGCATCCAGACAGAGGGTCTGGGTTTGAATACCATGAAAATTAACTACGGTTTGCTCACCAACAACTGAAAAGCTGTTTACCTACCTCATCCTGTTGATCAACAGTCATATGCTTATATAACCACATAAATACCAAGTTGAGCCTCGACAATTTCTGTGAATTTTCTTCCAACCAATCAAAATACAGAACACTTCGTAAAAGTTCCTTTGCTGCTGGACGGAAAATCCGTGGCATGGAAAACCCCTCCGGCGGAAAATTCAGAGGAGTATTTGCAGATAAAGCAAAACGTCACCAAATACGTAAGTTTGGAAAGTTGATGCACACCCCGGTCTCTAATCGTCTAGTGTCATTCAGAAAAAAACGCTTGCGACAATGCTCTCGAGTTAAACTTAGATGCCGTAATCAGTGAGTCAGTGGGCTAACAGGCTGATATGGGTAGAATTTGTGAGCCGCTCCACTAGGTTTTCACCATTTCACTACTTTATACTCTTATTATCGTGGCTGATAACCTGTAGAAATTTCGACGGTATTTTTCAAATTGATATGCAGTAGCACCCCAGTCACTTGCGAACAACAAAACACCAGGACTCCAGTATAGCGCCCGGATCGGTGATTTCCCGCCTATTTCATTTCAAACTATTTGCATCAGGAAAATAATATTAGTACGGTGGGTGAAGCATGCTTGCTAAGTGCCTTGATCCTTTGATGTAAACGGTGTATAGCCTCCACTCGTTATTTACTTCCATTTACATTCCGATTGTCACCATATTCGTCTACTTGACTTGCCTTCTAGCCATCTTACTAGCTTTATTGGTCAGCTAGTGTATTTGCGGTTATGAGGTAAAACACATTTGTCATTTTGTTTTGGGCTATAAAGTGCAAAATCTCTCCAGGTTGTCTGACGCCCAACTCATTTCTGTTTTTGGAAAGCACACACTATTCTCGATTTTTGCTACTTCGTTTTTCGCTCACCCTACGATTCGATATCAGCGCATCCTCCACGCTCGCTTACTCTTGGCATCTTTTTACGTATGAATAATTCATACAATATGAGGTCGAATCCGATTGGGTCCGCTCTCCTTCATCGGCAGGTGCCAAATCTGAGTAATTTACGTTTCGAATCCACTTAATGAATCTGAGTGAAGTCATTGATACCTGAACGACAGATTTTTCCTACTTAACCCAGAACGTGCATGGCACGCACAAAATAAGAAGAGGAGCCCACTATTTCCGCACAATTAAACAGATCTTAATCAAAAGTGTATTCGAATGGAAAATCCAACAAAGCGTCCGGAATAAATTGAGGCAGCTACCTGGACTATGATGTGTTACGCCGTGTCAATTTAAACCGCTTTTCATTGCGAAGGCATGTCCTGTCTCAACTGCCAACTAGAAACATATTTTTCGCTTCAGACGACGTACGCAGCCCACTGCAACATATCAGTTCAGACACATCACGTAGTCGTAATCTTTCATCTTTCATCTTGTTCAAGAAACCAGCTAAATAGCCTTGAATTCACGGACGGTATTGTTTGTTTTGTGTTAGCTGTTCTTCAAAATAGCTGGTCAACGGTGACCACTCCATCCAGCGTTGGTTCCAACGCAACTAGTCAGTTGCAACTCCTTTTATCACCGTTTTCAAAATGATTCTTTTAAAAACGGTAAAAAAAGACCTGAAAACCTCAATAATTACAATTTACGGTAATCAACCAAGCTCGTAAACTGACACTTGCTTCTGAGTGTAAGTTTTAGTGGATAATATTGGGCATGAAAAAGTTCCATTTTAGCTGCTATTTTTACGGCAGAGATAACAGATTTCAAAGAAAATACTCCAAAGTACTATTGTAATCAAACTTGTCAACCCATCATCATTTCTTTCATGGTTTTTGCATAAGAAATATGTCAATGATCAAGTCTGTCATGGGCTCCAAGTACGCATTAGTCTGATCAGACTTCTGTAATCCAGAGACAATCTGAGGTCGTCCACTTGGTTACCTATCTACCTATCCTTACTCGAGATGATCAGTACTACTTTTGTCCGCCTATCATTTCCCAGAAAAAAAGTGTACCAAATTCTAAAAGGATAACGCGTGATTCCGTTATTGTTTCACACAGTTACCTTTCCTTATATAGAGGTGAATCTAATTCTGCTAACAACCTTTCCATCCATACATCACTTCCAACCAGCCGTCTGTACCTTTTGTTGACGCATAACTTGTAATAGACCGAGAATGGTACGGTATGTTTTCTATTGTCGTAAGACTTTGTTTTCAGTCTTTTGGACCATGGTATCTGTTCACGACGGAGAACTTTACCATCGTCAGACTGAACGAAAAAAAACTTTTCAGTTGTTCCGAGCTAGGTAGAAAAAATTAGGTTGCTTTTGAGTATTTTGTTTACAAATGAAGGCTTTAACAATACTTTTAGAGCATTTCGTTCAGCCCGTTCATAGGGTTCTTGAGTGATTTAAATTTAACAATAAGTACGAAACGCTCTTTAAATTTTGCTTTAGCTTATCAGCTAACCATCAATGTCAATTATGTTCACCCCAAACACTGATGTCTAGGTTAGCCTAATTCTGTTGACGTTTAACTTACCCGATTCATTGACGTTTAGTTCATTTCGTTTGAAGTTCTCACACAGCACTGCAAAGACTTCACCATCCGGGTGGATTATGCTCCACTTGCTTTGAAATCATCAAAGTTATACTCAGAACGATGATTATTTTATGGTTGTCACCTTGAACAGACCAGAATGGTTCTACAGAGTGAACTGGCTTCAGTGTAACGGTGCACATTACTGAGGCTCACCATGAGTGGTACGGTCCGTAGGTCGGGCGAGGGATCGTTGCTGCCACTCACTGGCTGTTAATATTGTTCCGCTTCATTTTTGCAAGACTTTGCAACGTTATTCAGAAATGTCTGTTTACAACTATGGCCTGTCGGCATGTTCGCACTGGACAGTAAAAAACTCAACACCCTACAGTCTCTTTAGTTTAATGAACCTGAAACTGATGAGATTGCTATTAAAATACAGCAGCTAAATAACGCGGTCAGAATGTAAATTTGGAAAAGATATTCATATCAATGGCTTAAATCTTCTGGGATGACTCCGAACATTTAGTTTTAGTGCCGTAAAACTGCAATTTTGAAAGTATACCTCAGTCTCCATCATATAATAATATGAAATTGACCTCAGCTATCAACGCTCTATATAAGACCGTATTGAAGGGCATAAGTGAATCAACGGATATTGAACTGCCGATATCGGATGTGAATAGAAACATGAGTGATGGCCAACTTGTCTGTGCAGAACCAAATGAATAACTTGGCTTAATGACAGGCACTTCTCTTGCAAAATCTCTCACTCGTTGCTTCAATGGTTGTTTTGATGAAACTGCGTTCTTTCCCCGTCACTAAGGATTCGTTAATTCATGTCCCTGCTCCCATATCAGCTTCAAAAGATGGTAGACGCCGGTAATCTACGAAAGGTGATCACCGCATTTCAAGTTGGCAAGTTGGCGAAAGACGCTTTGGCGTTTTATTATTACGACAACGTACATGTTCACCTTCGGCTGATTTATGATGCACTCGCGGTGGGGCAACAGCTGGGTCTTTCCGGAACGATAACGGATTTGTTAAACGAGGCCAAAATATGGTTGGAAACGGAATATTCTTCTGCCTTGCAAAAGGTACCGAAATCTGGGAGTAAGTGAATTTAATGTGGCCAGTCGTACGAGTTGGAATTGCTTTGGGATTGTCTTACTCATTACATGTTTCTTGTTCGGTGGCTTGAATTATTGTCAACATCGTCCAGAGTACTCAAGCTTAAAACAACTGTTTGGAACCGGTTTGAATAGGCTGTGTTGTCTCCATGACAGCGAAAAATATCGTGTGTAGGTCGTCATACGCACTAGTATAGACTGAGGGTGAATGCCAAGACATTTCGGAATATGCGACCCTTCTAATTTTTCATTTGACGATTGTGTTTCCATTGCCTGCCAATAATCTCGGCATAAGTCTCCCTCTGGTTTTAAGGCCTGTCTTCAATCCACCTTTGGCTGTGTAGTGCCTGCTTCACTTGTTTGAGAATCTCGTTTTTGAATAGGCTTGCTTCTGTAAACTTATTAAGGATCCAGTGTGACTAAATGCACTAAGAATAATGGGATAATTTCGTTGAATGGGGCGTCAGCGGTGGGACATCCGCATATCGAGCCCCCTGGTATCAAGCTTGATCCTCGTATGAAAAATAAGAGGTAATAGTGTTATGAGCTGAAGCGGTAATCAACCGTAGATTATACACTCGATGTGACATATCTGTGGCAGTTACGGCAACCAAAAGAGCAAAGAAGTTCTATTACTACATCGGCAAACTTAATTTTCGTTCCACATTATTGTATGATTTTAAATTGAAGATCACCCTGGAGGGGCCCTTCAGATTCAACTTTCACCATTTTCAAGCATCGCTTCCCCCAAGTCGTACTTCCAAGACAAAACTTTTGATCCAATCAGATCGCTTGCTGAACACACTAGGAACAAGATCCTATTAGATGAATGCCCCAGATCGACAGTAATTGCCATAAGGTTCAGTGAGATTTTTGGCATCTGCGCTTTACCTCTCACCCAATAATGAAATAACAAGTCTGATCCAAAGAGAATGAGTAGTGTGATGCTGTACGAAAAGTAACTTGTGCACTAGCATTTCTAATGGAGCAAGTTTTTCTCAACTAGTGTGGTTCGCTTATTCTCGCGTACATTTTGGCAGAAGTGGTTCCTCTATCAGCTTATCGCGATGGAGACACCCGCATTATTGTTATTTCAACTGAAACAGATGGGTAATTTTTAAAAAAAATTCGTGTTATTAGAGAAACATCGCATTCATGTCTTCTAAACGTTGATAACCTTATTACATGTTTATTTGGCATTGTCAGTTTGTTTCTGTCTTGATGATTCAAAATTTATCAGGTTGAAAAAAGTACATTTTTATACTCATCTGGTGAGAGCCCTCCGTGGAGATCAGCCATGCAAGGAGTTATCGATATCACGTAATGTGAGGATATGATATTACTACCTCAGGTTCCATTGTGAGCAAAGTCTATCGGTAGCATAGTTTTATTGAGAAGCTAAAGTTTGTTTCACTAAAGAAAAATTCCATGGGGCCATAGGTTCGAAACTTTACACGAGTTATCAATAAGGCTGAAGTCAGGAAAACCTCACCTTGGTCCATCGTACAAGATGAAAGAAATATTGCACTGTTTTCTGGTCCTGTGGGACACTCATTCATTGGTATCCATTCTATGTATTGTCTTATCTCTCCCACAACCACCCTAAGGCACAGTTAATTCTACCCGTTTTTCTCCGAACAGACGTAAAATAACTTGGCGTAATAGCTGAGGCAGTTGAAAAGCTGCTGTTATGTCAGACTAAACCAAAAACTATATCATGTCAGAGAGATTGCATAGATTCCATTTACTTAGCGCTACCACCAAATAGTCGGATCGTGAGTTTATAAATAACATATAATTTCTTTTTGCCCTCCTTCTTGTCGAACCTTTTTCAAAGTACACCTTGGTGAACAGGAAAAGTCTCATTTCAAAGAGATCAACGAGCTAATCGTTTGCGGATACATTTATCAACATCCGGACGGTAAGAAACTCATCTTTTCTTCTGTGCCTATATATTCAAAGATGAATTACGCCTAACCTAGATTGGCATGGAGAGTTGAAAGTTGGCTACTATGCAGACACAATTCGGAGATCTCCAAAGACTAATAATAGAGCAACTACTAGTGAGTTTTTAGACGCCTTCGTACATGAACATGGGGTAATGTCAGTAAATAGAACGATTTAAAACAAAAGGGTACCCACACAGGCCGAATCGGTCTTAAGTTGGCACGATATTCGAGATATCGCAGTATATTTTAATAAAGAAAACTACTCACAAGGTTCAGTATATTTTAATAAAGAAAACTACTCACATGGTTGGTGAAAACACCCCGACAGCCCACGACCGAGTTCTTGCTACTTTGGGCTCATCAGGTAGGGCGCAGGCCCGAATTTCCGTCAACCTTGAAGAAGGGCGAAACCGATTATGGGCTCTCGAAGAGCTTTCAGCAACCTTGCGAGTAGTTTCCTTCATGAAAAGGGTGTCCACATACGACCAGTTTAAAGCAGTTTTCGCCCCCATAAGCTGCTTTTGAATGTTCATTTAATTAATGCTACTGCGAACAATAGTCCAATTCGCGAGAAACTTCTATCAGACAGGTGAATCTCTCCAAGAGAGCTGACAATAGCATTCCTAAGCCAAGACCAGACTCCCTGTAGCCGACGATACAGGACAAACTTTCTTCCTTCGTAGTGCAACTTTCTGAGATGTTCAAGCGTCAAAGTATTTTATCTCATCAGCTGATGAGCCGCAATAATAACAGGCGTTTTGTGTGGGCGGAAGGCCTGGGAATCAGCATTAAGTTTATTGCAGGCTTCAAAATTCGTCTATACACGTGGAAACTCTCGACTAGAACCAGTCCAGTAGGAGAGATAGGTTGCGTACCAAGGACGTTCTTCCGTTAAACTAGTTCAACAAAGATACCGTACATACTTTACAGCCACACTGCATGTTCCAGTTCGTCGACATTGTATATCAAGTACGTTGAAATTGACTTTGATCTCAAACGAGTCACGTGATACAAGGGGTGAGATCCATAGGCTATGTATTCGTTATTAACCCTCAGGAGATGCTCGCCAGTATAGTTAGCTTGGTACTGGGTTTGTGCATTATACGTACAAACGCAGCTGGTGTTGCCGGTCTCTTAGGCGTTGGGCCGATTTCAGTAACACTGCGAGTAGTATTTTGTTGTACCAAGTGGAACATGTGACGACTTTTGTGAGGCACAATCGATCATAAACGAAATTTTCAGCCGAAATTCATTTGAGTCTCCTGTCTAAGTTAAATTGGTATGCAAGTGAATGTATTTCGCAACTTGGGTTCAAGTAGAACTCAAATTTGATGGAACATCGTGGACCGCCACTAAATAACGAGTATTCCAAAATGTGTAAAAGT